GTTGGATGGAGTCTTGGGTGACATGGTTTAGTGCAATGTGTCTCTGCCCATGGCAGGGGGGTTGGAACTAGATCATCTTAAGGTCCTTTCCAACCGTAACTATTCTATGATCATCTAGTCCAACTACCTAACCACTTCAGGGCTGACCAAAAGCTAAAGCATGCTATTAACAGCATTGTCTAAATGTCTCTTTAACACTGACAGGTTTGGGGCATTGGCCACCTCTCTCGGAAGCCTGTTCCAGTGTCTGACCACCCTCTTGGTACAAAAATGCTTCCTAATGTCCAGTGTGAATGTGTCAAGTCTTGTAGTCCTCTTAAAGAAAAACAGTTGTGCTTTGGCTCAGCAGTGACCCTGGGAGTGCTGGCAGGTCCCAAACTACATGCAGTCATCTTCTGCAGTTTTACTGAGGAGGCATGGAGTTTCTACTAGCACTCCAGACATCGCCTACATAAATAATCAATTAGCCTTTCAGCTGTAAATGTGAAGCATTAGAAATGCATCAGGATAACAGCTGGGAAGTTAAATATTGGGCAGTGCTGTCCTATGCTAGTGTCTCCGATCATTGACTTCTACTTAAAGATGTTTGTTTCTATTTCATCTTCATGCTCTTCTGCTAACTTCTTACATTCTAACTTCTTACATCAGCACTCATGGCTCAAATTTTTTGGCACAAGGACTAGTTTTTACTATGTCATATTAAGCTTGGCCAAAACTCAATTCTTATTTTGAAGAAGCTTCAACTTTTGTTTTCATGCGTTATTGCAACAAAAGTAAATACATCCAAATCACTACAATTTGGTTTTGTATTTAAGATTTTGAAATGCCATTTCAGGATCACACAGGGCTATATTATGCTTGCGTAAATGCTTACATATCAACTACAACTCAAAATGTTAAACCTCACTGACCCTGTTACTGCACGTTACTGACATGTTATTAAATAATGAAGGAAAAAAAGTGTTAGTAAGAATGTGTGAAAAGGAACAGTTTTGGAGAGCAACAGCTTTGCAGTAAATCTTGCAAGTACCTTCTTTCCATGAATCAATGAAAAAAATTTAAAATTAATTAAAGCAATGAAGCAGCTTAAGACTATAGCTGCCTTTGGAGGAAACAGGTCTCAGTCTGTCTTACACCTCCTTGTCGTCTTGGGAAGCCTGGGTAATTCCCAGATGCAGCTCAGTGTGCAGAGCACAGAATGAATTGATACCAGCCTGTTCCTCTGTCACCTTTAACACGTACCTGCTCAATCCTACCTTCCAATCGTAATTCTCAGTCCAACCATGAAATGGACAACAGATAAAGGAAGTTCCTTATCTGTTTGTCCATGTGTCCTTGGCGTGAAGTCTACAAGCTGCACTGTGCTTGCTGCAGCACTGCCACTGCATGCAGCTGGCAGCCAGCATCACGATGCTGGGAATCTGTCCTGGCTCATTTTTCCTAGCTTCAAAACCAAGGCAAACCTTTCCCATCAGAGGGCCAAATCTTGCCAATGAGTAACTCCATCCTTAATACTGGATCCCTGCTGAAGCTCCCTGTAAGGATCACACTGCTCTGGACTCCTGGCAGTGGAAAAATGTGATCTGTGCACACTAAGAGCTGGCAGGATCAGGCCCACAACTCCTGGCTTTGGCTGAATGAAATGTAAGGAGGATTTTAGGGTGATTTCAAAGGCAGATGAGGAAACCTTCCCAGTCCATGCAGCATGGCCTTATTCCTCCACAGAATGTTAGGTCTCCTGTGCTGTGTGTTTAAGTACTCTTGTGTTATGTCCCAAGAATTTAAAAGCACCAACAGGACAAATTTCACCTCAGAGACCTATTTTTTCCCCCTACTCCTTACTATCATCATTAGAAGCTGATGAAAATCTTTTTATTCTGCAGTAAGATTTACTGCTTACTGATATTATTAGCTGAGACCACTCTCACATGTCCCTTCACTGAAAGGGGATGCTCCTCTTTCGGGCCTGACATTAACCTTTAATGCTGCCACCAAGGACACTTACCAGCAAAAATTCTGGCAAAAAACCCCAAGAAACAGAGTAAAAAGAACAGATTTAAGTAGTAATTCTTTTAACCTAGTTTCTTTCAGCCTAAAATATAACAGTGGCCCCTGTGTCTAGAGGAGAAGGACATAGATACCACCAAGATGCTCTGCATCTTTTCTTCTGTTACCATGTTTGTACTATTAAAAAGTCTTACACACTAAGCTTGGCATTGGTTTGTACTAAGGATCTTCCTCTTGGTATCTGACAGGTTTTTTAATCATGTAACAGATAAGACAATCCCCTACCTCCTTCAGAGTGAACCCACAGACAGATTAGGTGACAGAGACATCTGAGTACTGCTGGCTCTAAAAGCACCCAACTTTGCTCCCAAACCACCGCAGAGTACACACAGAATCTCTTAACTGGGGCCACTCTTCAAGGACAAGCAGAAATCCTATGCAGGGCTACCAGGTCTAGTAGGAAAACTGTACGTGTAACATCCTTCATGCCCATTGAACCCACATTTCACCCCATCTTTCTTACAATTGGAGATGATTCAGTGCCAACAAGCAGGTATTTCCTTCTGGGTCCTTTAACATAGGTATCTTCTCATGCTGAACATCGAACTAGTTCAGTCGGGTCCCACAACCCTGCTATGACATGATCTCCAGCTTGCACTGGAGTAGTATCTGCAGAGGAAAACTCATGTTTTCTGTGTCCACGCTTGGGCTTAGAGAAAAATTAGTTCAGCTATAGTCCTGAGGAGTCCTTTTATGGACAGCATATGCTTCGGCAGCCTGTCAGCAGTGTTCTTTAAAGCCATCCAGCAAAGTGACACCATCAGTTATAAGATCTATGTGTGTCAGGTCACTGGGTTACGAAACAGAAGTGTCATAAGCATGTAAGGACATGGTTTGGGCTCTGCTGTGAATGAAGATCAAACTATTTTTGTGGAATCAGATTACCATCTTGGGATTATGTATTGCACGACAGGGTTTTGGTAGCAGGGGGGCTACTGGGGTGGCTTCTGTGACAGGCTGCTAGAAGCTTCCCCCATGTCTGACAGAGCCAATTCCAGACAGCTCCAAGATGGACCCACCACTGGCCAAGGCAGAGGTCAGCAGCAATAGTGGTAGCACTTCTAGGATAATGTATTTAAGAAGGGGAAAAGTTGCTGCAAAGGAACAACTGCAGCCAGAGACAGAAGAGAGAATGTCAGAGGAACAGCTCCAAAGACACCCGACATCCAGCCAGGGTCAACACACCACTGATACATTCCAGTGGGAATGGGTACCTGCATTGTAATAACATTTCTACTAAGAAATATCAGTTCCAGTATTCAGAATTGTTAAAAAAACCTGAAATACGTAAAGATATGAATCAATGGATGCTGCTATTACACTGCAGCTAGCACAATGGTGAGGTGCTGTGTGCTTGGATAGAAAAATCTGGCTTAGACTGTACACTGCACTGTGTTGGACTACAGCAAAAATCAGAAGTCCCTCTTTCCACAGGACGTGACAGCAACAAAAATGAAAGCCATGACAACAAGCAATATGACTCTCCCACATGTTACTTCCTAGTTACACCTAAGAACACACATATTTGCAGCACGCATTGAAAAAGTCAGCTTCATTGCAGAGGTATCATGAGGAATGAGTGTGTCCTTCCGAATCAGTCCTCTTGGCCTCCAAATAAAACTGAGGACCACGACAGTGACAGAAGCTGAGAACTACAATATGGTCCAGAAAAAGGGGGGGGAAATGCCAAAAGAATGAAGCCAACATGTGTAAAGCATTGTTACATGGTGCTGATTCAAACAATGCAACCTGCATATAATACACTCCACGGCAGACAGAACTACAAACTTTCAGGCTAGCGATACACCCGTCAAACCTCAGCATCTCAAGCTATACACACATATATATATATATACACACACACACACATACGTATATATGAAAAAAAATAGTGACCTCTATCAATAACCACCTTGATTTAAACTTGAGAAAGACTGCTTGGGTAATTACTATCTTAAAATTGCGCTTCTGATGTGGCCAGTTATCACTGACTGTGGTGGTAACCACTTAATGAGATGAAAGACAGAAGCAAGGTAAAGCAATACTGAACAAATAAAGCATGGGGTGGGGGGTGGAACTTAAAAGAAATTCAGACAAATATAAAAAAAAAAGGAAAGAAGGAAAATTACACAGATACTGATATAGTTTCTGAATTGCAATGCAAGAGATTACAGGGGAACCCATCCTCCCGAAGTCCCCTTCTGCTCTCCCCTCTTCCCCTTATCCTTCTGTAAGTGCTGAGAATCAAGGGCATTATACCCAGCTTCTGGGCAAGCCAGCACACTGTAGGAAAACAAAAAGGCCATTATTTGGATGGAAGAATCAAGTCTGTGTTATTGACTTGACTGGTCCCTTTATATCAGCAGCTGGTAGAGCAGGGATCAGAGAGTGTGCTGGTGTGGTGCAGCTGTTCCACATATGTTATAAATAAGAGCTGGTAAGAGCTCATCCTATTTTTAACGTTACAAAAAAAACCCCAAGAAGTTACAGAAATTCCCCATTAATGTCTTGTAAGTGGAACTTTTCTCCTATTCTTGATTTAAATGCCCAGAACTGAATGGACAAAACAGGCTATTCTTAAAATAATAATCGCTGAAAAAGGAAAGAAAATGCAATTTAGTGCAATTAGATTAAGACAGCCCAGAGGATGTAACCAATTACTGCGTACAGCATCTTTTACTTCAAAGCAGACACTTTATCAGGATGAAAATGAACCCCTGAGATTCTATTTCTAATAAAAATGTTGGATTACTGCACTGAAGAGCTTCTCTGGCACAACCCAAAAGCCGAACCTAGCACCACGTGGCTCAGACACCACCACCCAGCCTTCCTGGTGGGGTTGTTGTGTGTGTCCAGAGCCATCACCAGCTCCTGCTCACCAATCCCAATGCTGAAAAGACCAAATCCCAGCCCCAGGCAAATCCCCCGCATACCTGTTTTCAGGGTCTGACACCGTCATGTTGCGCGTCACGTAGCACATCTTGAGCGGTATCGTCTTCTTGTCTCTGTGGATGGAGAGCGAGAGCTGCGACAGTGGGTCCGCAGAGGCACAACCCAGGCGGGGAGACTCAGGGGGAGGTGTCTCCCACCCGATTTCTGAAACAGGGGAGCCTTTCTTCACATAGGGGGTTGCTTCTCTCATGTATTTCACTGTGGAAAAGGAAGATAAAAAGGAAAGCAAAAAATAAATGGATATTCGGTAGCTGCATCCCATGTGAGTTCTCTGAGCTGGTATCAACCCTCAGCGCTGTTCACTATTTCTGCTTGTCCAGCATCACAGCATTGGAAGCTGCGCAAATAGAGAAGATAGATGGAGATCTGACTGCTGCCAATCGCAGTGTGGTGCAATGAGTAAAACAAGGGTAAAGAACAGAATAGATGACATAACAACATATAGCTAGTATAAGGCCAGGAGAGCCATCCAACCTCTACTTGACAGGCTGCAAGTCCTCATGCAGCCATTCCTACTGCAGAGAAGTCATGACCTCATGGCTGAGGTATAGGGAAGTTTTTAAGACATTCAACAAAGTGACAGTGAATCTATTATTTCCCTACCTAAAATGTTCCACTGATACTCCCAGAGCTGCAAGCTCACATCTCACTTCTGGTTCACACTTGTCATTGTCATGCCACTGATCTCAGAAGCTATTTCTGTTTGCTGAGAAGCAGTTTTAGCTGATCTAGTTGTACATATATACGGAATAAACAAGAACCAGTTCACCTCTTAGCCTTCTCTCGGGGAAATGAAATTGAGTCTGAGCCTGACTCTCACTCTCCACTGAGTGACAGTGGAGGTGTCAGATTAGATCTCTTCTCAGCCTCTTCCAATGCTTTTTTCCAGTGTGGATAGGGAAAGTGAATGTAGGATTCCCAAATGATTTTTAATGTATTCAAAAGTACCTCTTTTACACTCATACTTCATATTCCTCTCTTTATGCAGGCAAATATTGCATCATTTTCCCCTTTTTTCTGAATTTCTCTTAATTTCTGAATTATTTAAGCAGTTCAAGATCAATTCTGCTTTTACTTTTCACGTGTTCAGCAAATCTGCCAGCCAGTCTCCTTCACAAACCTGACAGGGCTCAACCAAGACAAGACCTCACATTTCAGCACCCTGCTTAAACACGTATCTCCAATGTACACAGCTGTGGCTGCCTAACTGACTATTACCCCTCAACTGGACCCATGACTCAAACAGAGCCAACATGAATTGAAAAGGGCAGGAGCACTGTGAACTTATGAAGTTATGAAAATGCTGTGAGAGAAGATTTCAAGGAAACCATGCAGATCACTGTGTGAGCTTGGCTGAAGAAGCTGGGAACAACTGAGTAACAAAAAGATGGGTAAACTGCAAAAGGGCACTGCGCTGAAGGAGGTTAAATTAGGGAAAGCAGACAGACGTTTTTCAGTTCAAAGTGAAAGCAAGGGAGGTATTCAGAGGAGTGAAGAATAACAGTGTTTCTGTCAAAACCACAGATAAGGTGAGTATTTTCAGCAGCACTATTTTCAAGGCACTTCATAGCCGCTTTACTAAGAGCGGTATCTGTGCAAAACTAGAGTGCAGGCTCTGTGAGCATCTATTGCCATCTTTTCTCTAAAAATCCTTAGTGCACATCTTCCCACTCCTTCTTTTAAAAAAAACCTGTTAACTGCCATTACAAGAACTTACGTGTTTAGGTATTTTACAGGATATTTCTCTGTGAGAAGCATCATTGGTGATTTATCAGAAATACTGTCCTACCCAACAATGCCGGTTTGATTTCTTTGCCTCATACTATTCTAAGTAATTCTTGACATTAATTTCTCCCCTGCTCGGGGAAGAGCTGGCATGGGATTCTTCCAGGCTTCCAGAAACCATTTAAGGCAAAATGTGTTGAGATAGATTGATTTTTTGATCTTTTTGTAGACACCTACCTGAAGTCCATTAGCTAAAAAGCCATGTCACATAATTCTCAAAACCAACCATCGCTCATCCTTGGGTATTCCATAAATTAGCTGATTTTCAAAGATGCTGAAAGTAAGCCCCTTTAGTTAGTGTCATATAGGTATTAGTTTTAGCGAGCAGCATCTCAGTTTGGATGTACCCATAGACTGGGAAACAGAGAGACTGAACACATACAGATGTAGTAAATCTATTCCTGTTTACACAGAATGAATATGACTTTGTCATTAACTTAGATGGAAGGAACAGCTGAAGCGGTAAAAAATCATGTTTGACTCCAAACAAAAATTTGTTCCCTTTAAATTTAGAGATTATGAATTAATCTGTTGAAAAAAGTAATCCAGTCAGCTTCTGAACTCCATTATAGTGACATGGCAGCAGATGTGAGGCTAAATAAAGGTCCAGGTTTCAACAGTGTAGCTATTTCATTTGTGCTATTTTCATCCTTTTTCAGCTGCAGCTATATGCACTCGACCTGAGCATCTTTTAATTACGGAAAGGAGAGAGGGGCAGGGGGAGGAAGGAAGCTGAAGTGAAAAATTTGGCTCTAAACCTAAGCAGGAACACAAAATGTGAATTTAATTCCCCAGAGATGGGGACAGAAGAAAAGAACCGTTCCTTCCATGTGCCAAGAAGCCAAGTTTCCATGCGACGCACCAGTGAATTTGTGTCAGGCAGCTGCACTGTTTCAGAAACTCCTGCGAAAGAGGAAGCAGGAGGAGAGAGCAGAAACACAACCCTCTTTCCACAAACTGAGTCTCAAACACAGCAAAAGCCAAGAAAATTACCTTGAGGAAAAATGTACTGTGAAAACTCCTGCCAAATACTGAACTCCCAGACATCTAGTTTCTACATACTCTCAAAAGAGATGGTTGCTTAGCCCCAGAGGCTTACATGACCCACTGATATACTGGTAAACTGCTGAACATCATCCTGTAAATAATTACAAAATAAAGTGAATATAGGTTTTCTGTCAAAAAACACACTGATTTTAGTACTTTTCTAATTACTGCCTACTTCTGACTAAACACAAGTACAGCTCTCTATATTCATTGCTGAATTCTGCTGGGTCTTACAACCCAGACTTTATGGGTCTTGACTATTCAAATGTGTTTCATATTTTAAAAGCTCCCAGGCGGATCCATTTATATATGCATATAAATGGATTTGGAACACGGCAGTGGAACAGTGGCAGAACTGATCCATTTCTATAATTTTTTGTGTTATTTAAATTTTCAGAGCCACTGTTTTCCATTTGCTCCATCAACAGCCATAATTACATGTCCATAACCAAAGTCCAGTTTATAAATTTAGCTGAAATAAGGCACATGGTGTCCAGATGATTCATAAGTTTTATCAGCAATTATTTCCTGTTTATCTTTAAACTCTGGATGCAAACACTATAGAACACTCTGGCTTACACCAATGCACCAGTAACCCTACTACACACACAGCAATTTATGGTGACCCCACTCGTGTCTGCATTTTGCAGCCTGTCCATAACCAGTTCTTAATCCACATAGTAAAAAACAAGTTGATACCAATATGTATTATAAGCATATTCCTATTCCATACTGCACAATCTGGGAATCTTGCAGCAAAGTTAATGTATAAATGAAGTTATACAAGTCACTTTCATCACTGAGTTTTAGAAACAGAAAAAACACGATACTGACTATTGGACATTGAAGTAATAATGTGGATAATATTCTGTTTTCAGACCATTACACTCAAGAGCTAGATTTCCCTTTGGATACAGTAGCACAAATCCAGGTACCAACTGAAAAAGTAAGCAGCTATACAGAACCCTATTTTCATATATTGCCAGTGAAACTACATAACAGGTTAAACCCCCAAAATATTTAATAAAATTAAATAAGGCATGCCATTGTATAACAACTCTGAATTATGTATAACTGTTCTATAGGCATGTATGTATATATATATGCCTTCAGAATAGGTACATATGTCTAATAGATATACAAATATTCAATATATATTTTATCAAAATGCTACATTCCTTAAGCCCACCAGAATGTACTCTGCAAACATAGAAACTAACATTCAGGGACTGAAAAAAAATCTAATGGTTTCATTATTATAACTCAATTTACTGATAGACTATAATTTCAGTTAGCATTGCCTAGCCTCATCCATTTGATGCTACAGCTCAACCCCAGAGATCCTAATATTCAGTACTAATTAATGATCCATACCCTTTTGGTGCACACTAATAAGAAACTGCGGTCAAGTAATTAAAATCCCAATCTCCGGAGCACCCCTCCCCACAAAGTGAAGAGGAAGGGAAGTGGCAATCAAATTAAATAATCCGCTGATACACATTGAAATCCTTTGCATTTATTTTTTGATCTGTGAAACAGCTTCCAAAAAGCACTTCATTTATACGCACTTCTGCCAAATCCCAAGTCTCCACAATTAATCTTTTGTTACATTCACAACTGACTTTTCTGAGGGGAAGAAGCAGGCTTTTAATGAGAGAAATACTACAGACCAACTCGGTCAGGTTCTTGGCCAGACTCAGTTCTGAGGAACTAGGACTCTTCTGACACATTCAAACTGTTTCCTAGGAGGGAAGACAAAAGACCACTGAAGAGAAGCCAGCACTCCCGAGAACAGCTCTTTCGTTACTATAGGAATGAGGACAGGATATGTAGATTTACAATACGAAAGCAAAACGAACAACATACCCAAATCTGCTGCTTGAAGAATGATGATGAAGGAATTCCCCTTTGCTGGGGAAAAGCACCAAGTCCCTCTTTATGAATTTGTTCTCTCCTAATTATGCAAAGACAGCTACCAAAGATACATAGGAAACATCACCCAGAAACCTCTAGCAGATATTTTCAAGTGATGTGCTAGCGTTACTGCTACCTAAAGCTAAGTTTTCCAAAGTTCCCATAAATCCACCTTCATCTGGTCTGGTTTCTGCCAGGGTAAAAGATGGCCCAGAGATGAGAAGCTAGGCAAGCCCTCCACCATACTGAAGACATTTTAAGACTGCATGTAGGAATCAACCTTCGGAGTCACTCAAGCCCACAAGTCGAAAATGAGATCAATTGCTTTATCAGCTTGTTCAGTATGGAGGGGCTGTTTGACTTGTCTGTGCTGAAGTGAGCACAACAAAATATCTGCAAGAGTATTGAAGGCAGCATGGTATGCAAAACTTTTCTTGCAAAAATGATGCTTG